TAACACAAACATACACTAATAAGGGGATCTTTAATAGTCTGACAATAGACTGGGGACAGCGGATGTCAGCAGAGAATCCCAAACTGAGATGCAAAGTGGCGAGAATGAAAAAAATCCCACAACACAAGAGTTGGGTGTGGTAGTGCACATCTGTAATCTCACCTACTCAGGAGGCTGAGAGAGCCTGGGTAAGTGAGACCCTGTCTTAAAATAAAAAATAAAAAGAGATGGAGATGTACCTCAGTGGTTAAGCTCTCTGGGTTCCATCCTCCATAACGGAACAGAAAGAAAGGTAAAGAAAGAAAGACACATGATGCTAACACTAGTAACATTAATGCCAGAAAATGACACATCAGAACAAGAAAAATCACTAGGAATGGAGCATGGCATTGTAATAATGAAGGCATCAGTTATCTAGGAAGATTTTTAAGGTGCACATCTCTTGACAGGAGAGGTTGAAATCTGTGAGGCAAAAATGACAGGACTTTGCAGAGCAACCCATCAGCCCATGGTTATAGCTAGAAGTATCAGCAACCTCCACCAGAAAAGTACAGACCAACCTGGCATGGTGGCGAATGCCTATAACCCTAGCACCATGGGAGGCTAAGGCACGAGGATCACAAGTTAAAGCCCAGCTTGGGCTACCTAATGACTTAGCAAGACCCTGTCTCAAAAAAATAAAAAGGACTGGGAATCCCCAGTATTGCAGGAAGGAAGTAAGGGAGGAAGGGAAAAAAGGAAGGGAGAGAGGGAGGGAAAGAGGGAGAGAGAGGAGAGAGGGAAGAAGCAAAGCAAGTCACCGATCAAAAATCATACAGCACTGCCAAAGAGGTAAAATAGACATCTTCAGTTTAATTCACCCAACTACAGCAAGGGACATTCTTCTCAAATTCCTGTGGAACATTTACCAAGACAAACTACATTTGACACCATAAAACACACCTTAACCACAGAATGTCAGTTCTCAACTGGCAATGGCACGAAACGAGAAATCAGAGCAGCCAGGAAAAGGCATGGAGTGGGGTGGGGCCCCTGTGCTCCTCTCTTGATGTCTCTTGGTACACACAAACCCAGGGCTCTCTTAACTTCTTTGTCTCACTCCCAGGTACTTCTGATTCAATCACAGGGCACCTGTGACTAGGTGTTTCCATCCCATTCCTGTGGAGGTCAGAGGCTGAGGGTGGGGTTCCTCCAGTGAGCAGTCCCCATCTTCCACAGTGGCCCAAAGCACAAACTCTGGGGTGGCTGGAAGGGACTTATTATTATTTTTTCTTTGTATAATTGTAAATTTATTTATTTATTTATTTTTTGGTACCAGGGATCAAACTGGGTGGGGGGCTTGTGCTTGTGAGGCAGGCAGGGGAATCACTGAGCTAAATCCCCGGCCCTAAATTTATTTATTTTTAAATTAAATTTTATTTTATTCCTTTCTCCCCTTCAAGCCCTCTACCCTCCCTTTATTTATTTATTTATTTGGTAACGGCGATTGAATTTGGGCCCTTGCACTTGCGAGACAGATCTGGTGGAACCACTGAGCTGAATGTCTAGCCCTTACCTTCCCTTTGTACAAAAGCTTTGTTTCCATTTTTCCTTTTATTTTTATTTTTTTCTTGTTGGAAGAGACTTATTATAAATAACAAAAATGCTCCTCTCCTCTCACCACACAGGAAATCCCAAAGGCTTCAGGACCCCTGTGCCAGGAACAGAGCAAGACTGAAGCTCTATTTATCCTGTCACAGCATGACAGTGCTCTATAGTACAGAGCAGTTTCCTGCGCAGACCCAGAATACAGTGAGGACACTGCCATAGCGTCCTGGTCGTCCCAGCCAATGCAACAGGAGAAAAGGAAGTAAATGACATACGGGCTAGGAAGAAAAAAAATACAATGGTCTTTGCTTTTCTTCCCCTCTTTTTTTCTTGGGTTTGTGAGACAGGGTCTCCCTCATGGTCCAAGCTACTATCCTCCTGCCTTGGACTTCTGCATGATGAGATTACAGGTATGTGTCACTGGGCCCAGCCAGAACCGCTTTTATTCATAGATGACATGACTGAAAAAAAAAAAATCCCAGGAAAAAACTCCCAGAACTAACAGGCAGCAACAGCAAGGTTGCAGGATACGAAGTTAAAATACAAAAGTTGTTTGATTCTTTATATACTAGCAATAAACAATGGGATTTAAAATTTAAAAATACTGTAAAACTTACATTCACTTCAAAAAAGGGAATATGGGACTGGGGATTTAGCTCAGTGACGCAGTGCCTGCCTTGCAAGTACAAGGTCCTGAATTTGTTTCCTGGTACAAAAAAAAAAGGGGAGGAACATAGGTATAAATCTAAGGAAATATGTATAAATTTTGAGGAAGAATACAAAATTCTGATGAAAATGATAACAGAAGATGTGAATAAATGGAATGGTATCCTGTGTTTATGAACTGGAAGACTACATTTTGTTATTATGTCAGCTCTTCCCAACTTGATTGGAGAATGCAACACAATCCCAAGGTCCCAATAAGCTATTTTGTGGAGAATCACAGAATGATACTACAGGTTAGATGGAAAGGCAAGGCAAAAGACCACACAACAAAACCAAACCTCAGAGAAAAGTCATCACTCCAATGAAGAAAAGCTAAGAACCCACTGCAGAACCCACCAAAGTTCAGTCACCAGGTGACATTGAGGGAAGAATACACAGATTTACCAAGCAGACCAGAGTGCAGAGTCCCACACAAATAAAGCTACTGATTTTTGACAAAGTAACAAAGGTGGTTCACTAAGAAAAGAGTACTATTGAATATACAGTGCTGGAACAACTAGACAACATTAAAAAAGAAGAATCTAGATACAGACCTTTCATAAACAATAATTCAAAATGGACCATAGGGCCAGGAATTCAGCTCAGTGGTTCTGCCGCCTGCCTCGCAAGCACAAGGACCTGGGTTTGATCCCCAGTACCAAAAAAAAAAAAAAAAAAAAAGGACCACAGATCCAAATGTAAAATTGTAAAACTGTAACATTCCTAGAAGAAACAGGAGGAACAAAAGAAGAAGAAACAGGAGAAAATGTAGGTAACTCTAGACTTGGCTATAAGTTTTTTAGAAATAACAACCAAAGGATGACCTATGTAAGAAGAAACTGACAAGTTGAACTTAAAACTGGAAATGTCTGCTCTTCCAAAGACGCTGTTAAGAGTCACCAGACAACTCAGACTGGGAGAAAATATTTTCAAAACACTTATCTGATAAAGGACTTGTATCTAAACTATACAAAGAACTCTTAAAATGCAGCAACAAGAAAACAATTTTAAAAATAGGGCAAATGTCATCACAGAACTGCAGCAGAAAACAGTAATGGGATGCTTCTCCCCAGCTCTAAGAAAGGCTGAAACCCCAACACAAAAGGCATATGAGCAACAGGGGCTCTTGTTGCGGGCAGGAATTCGAAAGGGTGCAGCACTCTGGAGGATGGAATAGAGGTTTCACACAAAGCTAAACATACTCTTACCATGTGATGTTCTCATTATACTCCTTCATCTACACTCAAATCATGTGAAAATTGCATCCACACAAAAACCAGCCTGTGACTCTATAGCAGCTTTACACATAATCACCACAAAGTAAAGAGGTCAGCAAGGGTGGTATATCCATCCAATGGAATATTTTTCAGTGATAAAAAGCAAGAAGAGTTGGGCATGGTAGCACACGCCTGTAATCCCAGTGTTCGGGAGGCTGAAGCAAGAGGATCACTGCGAGTTCAAGGCCAGTGTAAACTATGCAGTGAGATCCTGTCTCAACAAAACAAAACAGGAAAAAGTAATTCAGCCATGACAAGACATGGAAGCACTTTAACTCCATAGTGCTAAGTGAAAGAAGCCAGACTGAAAGGATGACTTCTCTACAGCCATATATTCCAAAAGCATGTGCCTTTTTTTTTTTTGGTGGTACCTGGGATTGAAATCAGGACCTTGTGCTTTTAAGGCAGGCACAATGCCACTGAACTAAATCCTTGGCCAGCATATGCCTTTCTAGGAAAGGCCAAACTACGTAGACAATAACGACATCAGTAGCAGGCATGGCCTGTGAGGATGGGATTTCTAGGCCAATGAAATCTACTTTGTGTGATCCTGGGGGACACAAAACATCAGGAACATACCAAAACTCAACTACCTGTGCCAGGGATTTAGCTGTGGTGTCGCATCTGCCTTGCATGCACAACGTCCTGAGCTTGATTCCTGGTACTACAAAAACAAAACAAAACAAAACAAAACCCCCCAAGCCCCAATACCCCAACTGACACACAGCAAAGTTTACTGTCAACTATGGCCTTTTTTAGTAATGATGTAGATCAGTATCAATTCATAACATGTGACAAAGGTCCTACATTAATGCAGGGTGTTAACTATAGGGAAAATAGGTGGATTTTCTGTGCTATCTAAAGTTTTCCTGTAAGCCTAAAAGCGTCCTTCCCCCCAAGTGTCCTAAAACAATCTACTCAAAGAAATCAACAGAAGTTGGAGAATGATTGTGGGAAGCTGAGGCAGGAAGATCGAAAGTTCCAGCCCAGCTTAATTTAGTGACTTAACAAGGGACTTTTAAGGGGACAAAGAGGGGTTTTATTTTTCTTTTGTTATTTTGAGTCAGGGTCTCACTACATATTTCAGACTGGCCTTGAACTCACTGTGTAGTCTACAGGGACCTCAAACTCTGAGATCCTCCTGCCTCAGCCTCCCCAGAGCTAGTATCACAGGCATGTACCACCATGCCCAGCAGGGGTTTTTCTATTTGGATCACAGTCAAGAAAATGTATGCATTTAACAAGGTCTTAAACTTTTAGCAAAACAGGACAGATAAACAGGAAGAAATGGGCAACTTCAGAATCACTGGGAGGCTGACCTCACCTTTCTAGAAACCAATAGACAAAGCCTAAAAAAAAGAGAGGGAACAGATTCACTGACTCCCACAGGGCTGCGGGATCCCAGGCTCCCAGGGCGGAGAACAATGTAACCAACTGGTAGAGAGGAAGCAACAGTCACAAAAGCAGACTGTGTATTACCACAAGGAAATCTGGAGTTCAAAAGCACCATGCCTTAAGAGACCAAACCAGCCAATCTTAATATAAGAAAATTAAAGATAACTCCAAAAAATAAGCTTCCTTCTCCCAAGCTATCCATTTGCAAAACAATCAGCACCTTCCTAAATGAACTTCAGGGCTGACAAGGGAATCAAGACTGGAATTGCAAACTACAGAGAAAACAGAGAGAGCACAAGGAGGCAGATCCATGGCCTGCACTCACAACCTCAACTGCAGGCTTTAGGAAGCAAACCAGGAGCCAAAGGCCTGAACAAAACCAGGGAAGAAGAAACAAACAAGCATTAATGACAATGCAGACAAAGTCACGGCTGGCTTGGAAAGTCAGGTGCTAGTGACAAACTGCAGCAAGTCTGGCCATGCATGGGAAAAAGGTAACAAAGCCACATCAGATACGAGAAACCACAAAACAGCAGGACAAGAGCAAGACAGTGCTCATTTGGGTCAGGGCCCTAGTCTGGCTGCTCCTCCCCAATGCTTCCAAAGCCATGGCTTTGCTGCTGCCCTGTGGACCCCACAACTTCACTGACAAATGCCGATCAGACAAGGTGAACAGGTGCTAAATGCTTTCCCTATGTACAGAACAGGTGACCCTTAATAATATATAGAGGTTGTCTAGAAAGCAACCGCCCCCAAATCAGTTTTTAACAGCACCTAACAGTAAAATGGGGAGAGGGACAAACAGAAACACAGCTAATAAATGTATTAAAATACACTCTACCTATTTGTACAGGGACAAGCATATGTATGTAAAAGCACAGTAAAGCGCCAGGGATTTAGCTCACTGGCACTGCGCCTGCTTTGCAAGTACAAGGTCCTGTGTTTGATTCCCATAACAACAACAAAAAATTACCACAGTAAATAGTCTGAAAAATTATACATCATATTTGTAATACTAACAAGAGATAAAATTTGGAGAGTAAGTGAAAATGGGAACTTTCGTTACTTCTTAGCCCATATATTTCTGCAGTGCTTTAGGGAAGAGAATGTATTCTACTTGAATAGAAATTTTTCATAGCAAGCAGATAACTACTGATATCTAGAATGGCTTGACCTCAAGGACATTCATAAAACATGAATGAAAGGGAAACTCCCAGGATTCTGAGGCCTCTGTATTTTTCTAAAAGTTTTAGTTTGTCAAATTTTTGTGGCAGTCTTACTTTTTGGGCCCATGTATCTGTGTAAGTGGGCAATAAAAAGCCCACTGTCCAGGCCCAGGCTCCCTACTCCCACCCCATCAAGTGAAACAGTCCTCCATCCTTACACACAGGACACCCATGACATCCCCAGGAGCAAATGAGGTCAGCTTCTAGCCTGGGTTCCTACCCCATGAGTGGTGATGACCAGAGCTCCATTTAAGAATGCAAGGAGCCTTGACCCAGAGGGCACTGGAAGCCATGTGCCACCATGCAGGAAGACTCCCCCGCCCCCTGTTGGAGATCGGTACTGACCGCGGCTGGGGGGCAGCAGGCCGCTCAGGTAAGGGAAGCTCGCTTTCCGCAGCTGGTCCAGCTTCTCGCGCAGCTTGCGCACCTGGCTATCAGAGCGACTGACACGCTGGCGCAGGCTCTTCAGCTCGCCATTCTTCTTTTCCACCTGCTCGCGCAGGCAGCACACCTGGCTCTTGTTCTGCCGTGCTGAGAAGCAGTAGGAGTGCAGCGAGTCGATGAGCTTGCAGGCCCCTGACGCTGACAGGATGACTTCATTGATGGACATGGGGCTGGCATCACTGTGCTCGCTCTGCACAGCTTCTGCAGCTGGCTTTGGGGTGACGTCAGTCGGAGGGGCCGAGGGACTTTGGGAAGGCTTCTGCGGAGTGGCTGTGAGTGAGGAGCTTGGGGGACTCTGGGCTGGGCCCTTGTCAGGCCCCAGGCTGCTCCCGCTGCAGCTGGGCTCCGCATCTCTCTTGGGCCTTTTTCGGTCAATGGGCTCACGGGGGACAGACGGCCTCTCTCGAGTGTGCTTGGAAGAGAAGCTGTAAGAATGGAGTGAGCCAATAAACTTGCAAGCCCCAGACCCTAGAGGGGTAAAGTCATCCACAGAAATGCCACTCTTGTCTGCCCCCACCCCGGGGCTGGAGGAAGCAGCATTCTTGTCATGGTATTCTACAGCAGGTGCCTCTGTCTCACCCTGGCTGCCTGGCTTTCTTTCTGGAGACCCCTGTACCTGTTGCCGACCCACAGTTTCCGGGCCAGCCTGGAGCACGGCCTCCCCCTGCAGAGCAGCTCGCTTCAACTTTCGGGACTCAGGCTTGGCCATGGGGTTTCCACTGGAAGGTGATGAGGAGCCTGGGGTTACCTTCCCTACTGCTGTGCTTGCATGACCCTTCATGCCCCCTGAGGCCTTGCTAGTGTCCTTTCTCCTGGTGCGGCCATGGCCCCCAGTCCCCCGCTTCTTCTCAGTCAGGTGGAAGATGGAGGGCACAGCTGTGGGCTTGAGCAGGCGGTGCTGGTCCTCCAGTCTTTTGGAAAAGCTGTCTTTGGTGAAATGCTCGCTACAGAGGAACGAATACTTAGTGGGGGTCCAGTTATCCCTCTGAACAGCTTTTAACCACTGGAGCAGGCGTTTGGAGTCCTTTAGGGGGAACCTGCAAGATGAATGACAAAGTACTGAGAAATAATTAAATGTCTCCTCCAAAAATGATCAACTACAAAAGTAAAATAACTGTTTTTTGCAAACATCCAAACCTATACTGATTTCATCTGCTTAAGTACTTTACTAGAGATATAAGAAGCAGCTATTTGCAAGGTGTTCCTGGAATGGAAGGATGCATGGCCCATTGTTGACCCTTCAGGAACCTGACGATAGAAGTGTGGCAGATAGAAATGCAGCCCTCATTCCTCCCAAGTTATGGCAAATGCCCCCTGGGTATGCAGGATGCCCAGACCTCTGGACTCTAGGAAGCCGGGCGCTGACCAGCCCTTCCCTGATGTTTCTGGAAGGTAGGACTCTGAGCAGTAACAGCAGGGTATCTAATGCCTGTACTAAGTTCAGTGTGGGCCACAGGGATGGGAATAAAAGGCCAGGAGAGCACCCAGATGCCCAGCAGGATGCCCACCCCAGTCGCAATGGAAGCTGCTGAGGAAGTGGGAACCAGCTCAAGTAAGACTTCAGCTGTAGTTCTGTGCTCTCCTGGGCTCCACTATCAGGAATAAAACTTCTCCCTTGGGAGTCAGCCAGCTCAAATTTTTAGATACCATGCTGAGTTAAATACGCCAGTCACAAAAACATTCACATAGCTATACTAATACTACATATACTTATATAAGGTACTAAGAGTGGTCAAATTCACAGATAAAGTAGTACGGTGGTTGCTAGAGTGTGAGAAGAGAAACGAGGAGTTAGTTTAAGCCGGACAGTTTCAGCTTTACAAGATCAAAAGTTGTAGAGGTGAAGGTGCCTCACAGTAAGTGAATGTATTTAATGCCATTGGCCCACACACTTTAAAAACGTAACCAGTCCCAGGACATGCAGAATAAGAGAGATTTAAATCACTCCTTGTTGCCTAAGACACTTAATCACTTCTTCACTAAGGCAAGACCTGTATTGTATTCAAGAAAACTCAGATGTGTTCCACTTCAGAGTCTCCAGCCCACTTGAGGCCACGGTGGGCCAGGATTGGTCGGGAATGTCTAGGTGGCTGAACCTCTCCTCCCTTCTCAATACACTGGGACCCTGATTCTCAGAGCTCCACCCCCTCCCCCAAACTGGGCATCCTTTGCCCTCAACCATGTTTGACATGATGAACGCCACCAGGTGCTTTCCAGGCGATTCTCTGCCTCCTTTTCAAAATCAGTAACAACTTCTGGGACCGGAGCTCTGAGGGAAACAAGGGAAACAAGAGAGGAGCCGGCCTCCAGAAGTAATCAACGTTACCAGCTCCTTTGACAGAATGTAGCAACTCTGGATTCAGGGCAATCGCTGTAATGCTATAAATAACACGTGTGGTTCCCACCAGCTACAGAAACAGACGCATGTTAAGAACGTCTTCTGGGGCAGGGTCCCCTGACTTCTTGTTCTGGTTCCTTCCCGGGAAATTGGTGGAAGGACCCACAGAACGGGGAAGTCCCTCGCACCCTCGGCCTTTCGCGGGCGAGGGATGCGCGAGCCCGGTCTCAGGGCTGCGTGTCAGTGCCAACCCGTGAGAACTGCTCTGGGCGGGGGGTTGCCTCGGGTCCGCACCCCAGAATTGGGGAGCCGAGTCAACGAGACGAGAACAATCAGGGGAGGGTGCGAGTCTGCGGAACGCGGTACTCCCGCAGCTCGAGGTGCCACCCAGATCGATGGGCGCGGGGGACGCGGTTGGACCTGGCTTGACCTGGCCCGTGTCAGTGCCAACCCGTGAGAACTGCTCTGGGCGGGGGGTTGCCTCGGGTCCGCACCCCAGAATTGGGGAGCCGAGTCAACGAGACGAGAACAATCAGGGGAGGGTGCGAGTCTGCGGAACGCGGTACTCCCGCAGCTCGAGGTGCCACCCAGATCGATGGGCGCGGGGGACGCGGTTGGACCTGGCTTGACCTGGCCCGCG